GCTGAAGGTGGTCGATAGATCACACCAACAACACAGTCGTTTCCTGTTACCGTCTTTATCGAGCACCACATGGTATCCGATAGCATCAAACCTTCATCAGTTAGCTCTTTGCATATAGTTGCCTGCTGTGGTAAAGAGCTACACCACCTCCCCGAGAAATGCGATCACGACGAAGAAGCGTCATTCCAGGGATGGCAAGTTTGCTATACGATAAGTGTGGCTGGAACCAATTCTCGCTGATAGCAGTCAGGTTTGGCAAGTGCTTTTCACACAATTCAGATAATTCTGGAATCTTGTTAGTCAAGCATTGCGCGTTAGTGTATAAACATTTAATGGTGTTTATTGACAGCAGTGTTGGGCAGTACGCAAGAGAATGTGCAGGTTGGGCGGTTATAATTGTGCCGAACCTGGCAGAGTCGGCAGCTGGTCGTTTTTTTGAAGTTTCACCTGGTTTACAGCTTCATCTTCATTAACCTTGGTCTCTTCTGTGGGTATATTGTTCCGCATGGATGTGCTTATCCTTAACTCCCTAGGGAGTAAGTTTCTGTGACGTTGCCACTGTGTTTGGATTAAGTTTAGCATATCACCACGAAGTAGTGTGAGTTTCAGGGGCCTCGGGCCGGTACCCATATACTTTGGTGATTTCGGAATCCGATAAGTATCAACCACGGCCACGTTTTCAATTTCAAGTGTTCTGCAGATGGCCATCAAGGAGGTCTTAGAAAGCAGACTTGAACGGAATAATCAACAGCACTGCAATGGAACCAGTGCCAGCACCAGCACCAACAATGAAAACAAACAAACGTGTTTTAGTGTTTTATGTGAATAAATCATGGCAGATATCCATTCTGAGGATTTGATTGTACAGTAAACCGTTTTAAATACGGGCTTTCGTATCATTTATTCAACAAGAAATTCTGTCGACACCCCATTCTAGTGGAGTTACTAATAACGGTATTCCATTCAACGGAATAGTGAATTCCCTGAAGCCAGTATACTAACACCAAGCACGTAATGTGCGCTGCTCTATTCTGAGCTCTCTTACTATCTTTAGTAGGGTTGAATGCTGCTGAACTGATCAGGCGATTCTCAGAACGCGGTGAGCACGTGTGCTGTCCGAGTGTTTGCAAGACGGTACAAGCGGTTGGCATGTTGGAACACGTGTTTTCCATGAAGCCTCACATTAGTATTAGCAATGGTATTGGAGAGCGTCTTACTACATTAGTGAACTTGAGATCATCGTATGATGTTTTACCGCGTGTGTGCATGGGCCGTTGTAACTTATCGTAGAAGTGTGAAACAATCGTGGGTGAATTATGTCAGCGGAATCTAATATTTGTTTTCAAAACGACAGCGTGTGTCAAATGGAAAGAGGGTTTNAAACTACGTTCGACTCCGTCTGAATGCTTTCGTATTGTAGCTATAATATGATGCCCAATTTCCTCGAAGAGTAAAAACATCTATCCTTATACTCGTGGTGCTTTGTTTATTTCCGATCATTGCATCCTATATTTTTGCCCTACGTTTCTATCTTGTTCCTTGTCTGACATACCCGGATCATACCTGACGAATTAACTGGGTAGCATGAGTGGGGAGGCTTTCACCTAGGTTCCGCGCATGTGCAGTGATTTTATTTTACATGTTTACTTCTTTTCTCATCATTTTTTGTTCTATTTGCTGTATGAAGTAAATAAAGTTAAGTCACCTTTGTTCTCTGTTAGTTTTTGGATCACACCGGTTTTTATGTACCTGAATCTCCTATGATGTATGGGTTTTGGACGAATAGCTATTGTATCTTCCAGGCGTCACTGCTGAATTTTGAATTAGCAACAGTCACAGGCAAATCAATAATACAAGGACCACTATTTCTCATTAGTTTTCCTATTCATACATTGGTCGGGCATTTCTATCATGTGTAATAAGAACGGCAGCTCTTTTCGCTTAGTTTCTGGTGAACCGTCTGTCAGTCGTTTTGACTGGAAAGAAAACAGTCTGTACTTTTTGCGAGCCCGTACCCTTATCCCTAACTTTTGTTGAGGACGAGTTAAAAGTTCCTACTTACTTTATTGGCGTTCCCCAAATAAATTGCTTAGTTGTGTGACGGTGCGTCGATAGTTCTTCAACATAAGCGCAACGGTTAATGACTATGTTTTTCTCAGAACCGATTTTTGTTCCAGAAGTAAAGACCAACATGACTGGTTTGCTCCAGAGTAAAGAAAAGTCACACAATCAGCTAGTTACTTCAATTTTCAACTTGCTTTATCCGCTTTTTTTCTGGCTGGCATTGTTATCGACCTCTTGTAATGAGGTGGACGGAGACTACGGTGTTGGATGATAAAGTATGATTTCGCGAACCAATAGGTTATTGCGCTCACTCCCGATTCCCCTTTCGCCGCGATCAATCACCACGAATTGCACAATGGACTTCCACGTCTTTATCATTGCTTCACATTTTACTTAAGAGAAAAAGTGCACATTCCTGATTTCGGTCCACAAAATTGCCTTACGCAATCAGTACTTATCTAATTTATGACCGGGAGGTGAAGAAACGGGCTTCTGTTTCTTATTCACACAAGTCTAAGTCCATGGTTTACAGCCCAACAGAGCCGATTTTACACTATTTGTGGCGGCTGGTTGCGATTATTCGTAGATTCACTCTAGTTATGAATCGTATGCCTGCCCTTTTCAGCTTCACAAGTTACCAACTGATAGTTATCAACGAATTCACAAAAACACGATGACGACCGAGAAGCCAGAAGCCTACGATATCCGTTCGCATGAATGTCAAACACGGCTTTTGACATTAGTGCGTTCACCACAACATACTTTGTATATGCTGACATGCAGCATAGTGTCCTACAAAAGTGCAGCTTAATTTCAAATCAGACGAATAAATTGTTCTGGGCAAATAAATCGAAATGACTATGTTATGTACAAACCGGCGATGACAACGTTCACAAGTTGTCTAAATTCAGCCAATAGGTCCTCAGAGCACGAGGCAGGTTACACATTCGTCATACTTCTGTTGTTGCTGCAACTGGTAACTCGATTAGGGCAGGTCTGTCTCGCAACCCCAGGTTGGTTTCAAGTTCTTCGAACACCACATTAGGACGAGTGGTTTGTTTGCACCGCAGATGGATAAGCGGTTTCATGATCTTTATCTTACACCGAACGGTGTCCTTACCGAGCTTTGTGAGCTGTAGTGCGGCACCGGCATTTGCATAGGTTTCCTCTAAATCTGGTGCACTGAATATGGTAAGCAAACGGGGTTCTTTGAAAAACTCAAATCCATTCTTGACTACTTCACCAGATCGTATGATTTGAGTGAGTCCCAAGTGATCGCAGAATCTTGTTACCACCTCTGGTCCAAATAGATAACCCATGCCGCCAGGGTTTTGTTCCCAGTTTACGGTTTCTTCGTCCGGGTCAGACCAAATAAGATGTGTGAGTATGGAATTTTGATGCAGTAGTGCTGGCCGTCCGGAGCTCTGACGAAGTTCATTTTTCAGGTGCGTCAGGTTGGACACGTTCAGGAATTCTAGGACCGGTGACAGACCACCATGGATGCAAAATACGCGGTCGTCCAGAATAGCAGCTATTGGAAGAAACTGAAACACCGTATTAATGTCACTCCATAGGCGTCGTGTAAATCTTTTCAAACAGTGATCGAACAGTCCGTAAATACGACCGACCGAAGCAAACTCATGTCTCCCCCTAAGTAGATAAACATGATTCGGATAGAGCACTTTGTACGCAAATAAAAGTGCTATGGTCTCAATGCTTTTCTCTCCACTATCTGCATAATTGCCAAGAAACAGAAACCGCCGGTTTGGTGGATGTCCTAGGTTATCCAGTAAGTGTATAAGGTGCACATATTGACCCCGTATATCTCCAATAACGTGAATCGGTTCATCTAAGCTCAGTTCCAGACAGATAGGTTCGTTCATTAATATATCCGGCAGCAGATAGCACATGTTACACATCTCAGCTTCTGTTAGGTTACTTCTTTGTTCCTTGAGCAGTTGTCTATCGGTTAGGCGTTTCGCCAGTCTTTCGACGGCTCTGAAAATTCGTCTTCTCATTGCAGACGTTAGAGCCAACTGGCTTACTAACCGAACCTGGGGGTCATCCATTTTGCGTGTTTGTGTGCACCACCAACTTCTAGGATGGAATAGGCCGCCAGAATTGATCAGCGCTTTTGAACATTTAGGTGTCACAGGACTTATCAAGGTCAAAGTTGTGTGTTTGCCCGGGGGAAAATTATCAGTTCAGTACATTCGTCAAAGGAAGACTGGAAACATTCAACGTTATCCGATTACTACATGATGAAAAATTGATTAGTCTTCTTGCTTATAGATTAAGCGAATGCTGGAAAAGGAAAGAATTTTAGTCATCTTAGATGAAACTGATTTCTAACCAATTTTTTAGTCTTTAAAGTTGATTGAATTTGTAATCGCGATCTCCAGTTGGTTCTTTTGTACTTTGTCATGAAGCCTAATGATGTGTGGTAGACATGAAAGATATGAAATGAAGAACACACAGAGCAAACCTTCAGGGAAGTTATTCAAATACGTTTTGCGGACACTTCTCTGTCTACATCCAAATAAGGTACATGCAACAAAATGGTGGATCAAAAGATGGTATTAGATAATAGCAATGTAACCTCCTTGTTGGGTTACATAACTAGGGTTTCATGGATCGAACATCTCAACAGAACGACAGAAAGGAGAAAGAAAATCTCGGGGTTCCGTGGGTGGGGTAAAATTAGCAACCTAATATTCTTCTTCATGATATGGATATGTACCTGCACTTTCGATATCCAAACCGAGTTCCCCTTGAGCTAGGTCCACTATGAATGACAACGATGATTCTAAACATGTACCCGGAACAGTAGATGTTTTGACGAATTTTAAAAGAATATCGTCACCTACATTTTGGAGTTCGTCTACAGACTTTTTGTTGAACGGGTCAGCTGACCCATATAGTCATCGTTACCAGACTACCTAAATAACTTACAGAACTCTTCCCACACTCTGAGAGGATAGCTGCACGCAACTAGTTCTGTTATAACGACATTTCAGGCTGGAGAAAATAAACCTTTCATCTCCACGCAGGAAAGAGTTTTACGTACGCGAAAAGACCGTTTAACAGCTTGACAATGGGAAATACAATGGTAAGCACAAAAGTGGCGAAGTAAGCCTATTTGTTATCCGTGGTTATTAGTCTTAGTTAATATACCACTAATTTATACGAAACCAGGCATAGATCAGGTGCATAATTAGATTCACTTATGTGTACGGATGTAAAGCAGGCCACCAAAAGGTGCGTAGGTTAGTGGATATAGATTCAAACTGACTAACAGAATAGCTAGCATGACATCACAAGATTTCTTCAGACACAGAGCCCGAGGTTACGCGGTCAGATTCCAAAAAAAACCTGCATTCGATGGCACGCTCAACTGTACTGCTCGTGACCGGTTGAGAGCTAGAACTGGAAATCATGAAGGGATCAACAGTTAAGTACTTTGTATCAGTAAAGCGCTTGTGCCCCTAGTAGCTATTCGAGTAAATCGAGTACATTCATTGCTAACTGATCGGATGGATGTTGATCTATTCACCGAGCATGAAAAGTGAATTGCCGATGTTTCGTCAACATTCGAGAAGACACTTTCAGCTATACAGCTGATGAACTAGTGCCCGACACCAAAAGGCATCTACCTCATTTACTAAATCTAATATGTTCTGGATCAACTGACGATGACTACTAGCACAAACCAATCCATGAACATTCTGTGTCCTTTTGTGAAGTCTCATTTAAGGCTTTCAGAGACTAAATTGGATTATTGTCTCATCTAATTTGGAGGTATCCTCTTCGTTTACGCTGTTGACCACTAATCATTAGCAAAGGTTTGTTCATCGTTGGCTTTGCCATCGATATACTTTTAAACCTCCCATGACAACTGGTAGATGATGTTGGTTTTTGCCCAGATGCTATTTTACACTAACGCCGGAAGCTGCATCAAGGCGTATGGTACACCTCCAAAAAGGTTACAACTTTTGGTGACATGCTTTCAACAGACCCATTTGAGCGAAACATGGGTGTATTCGAGAGTTTCACGCTTAAAGGGTCTCACTCTATTTGGTTTGGAGACTGTTTACAGCCTTTCACGGAGATAGAGTGCAGAATTTTATAACAAAATCTTCTCTGAATGTGGTTTGATAAATCGTTTCATCTAATGCACACTCTACATGCTGATGCAAAAGATAGGGCGATTCGGGCAAAATTTCCACTATATTGAAGACAAATGAATATGGTACTTATATGCAGACTGACCAGACTTGTATACGCCACCAAACTCTACGTCCCAAGCATTTAGCGGACTAAATTTTTGGCACCCAGCACAATTCAGCGTTTCCGTAATCATCTTGCTAGATATGAGGAGTTATCAGAAAAGCCAGATAGACTCTTGTGGTTCAAAGGCTTTTTGTGATAGTCTTGGAATGGAAATTTTAAAGATGTTAATTAGGCGCACTTGTTAACAAGAGTGATTCATCCACTCAGGGAGCTAGGTTCGAGCAGCAATCAAGTGTTAGAATAAGCAGGCAATTTAGTAAGTTGATTGCCTCCCTGACCGCTGCACCGCGGTCATTTTGGCAAACATCGTGGTTGAGAAACTCTTTCGGTCACGTGTAAAGTTATGAAAACGAATCATAGTAATTTCTACGCACGCTTTTGATAGACGCATACCACCTACGTGTTAGGAAGTTGCCGTGTCGTACAACTCCGTGATGAGTAGCTATACTGAAGTGCTCAAACCACGAGGTTAGTTTAACTGGAATTCAGATATTTTATGTTACACATGAGAATAGGCAGGAGTTGGCCGCTCAGTGTCTCAAATCTGAAAACAGCGGTTCACACGGAATCTGACGCACGGTACTCATATTGCTGACTCCTGATAAACTACGGTCTTTATTATTTGGAAGAAATAGATAGACTTGTGATCGTTGGCTCGCTGGGTGAGCTGAGCAACTTTATGGCAAACGGGCTTCGGTCAATAAAAGCACTTCAGATTAATTTTGCATTACACAGTTGAATTGCACTTCATTATTGTGTCGCTCATGGAGTGCTGTTCCAATTTTTCAAGTGAACGAGAAATCAGATGAATACGGAGATTCGGCACTTAATGGAAATTTCGATTACAATCGGTCTTGGTTAGTGTTCACTGTCTCGATAATTTTGGAACACAACATGAGAAGAGATATTGAATACGCCATCGCAAAGTGAAGTGAATACAATTGGTAAATGTGGCTGGGGAGGGGCCACCACATGGACATCATTTTTTCATCTCAAGAAATGTTTTTTCCCAGAGTTTACGGGACTTAGGTCATGAAGTGCTTGATGGGAAAGGAAAAACATGCAAGCCTTTATCCTGAGCGCAACATCCCAAAACAGATATCCATGCATCGGAGGCAAAATGCATTTTCCTTGTGCCTAGTTAAACAGCCTTCTGTACACTGCACCAAATGAAAAACTCAACCAGACCACAAAAGCAATCCAGCGCCGGAGTCGTTCTTGCCATTCTTTAGTAAACTGCCCCATTCAAATGCAACTAGCTGGGACCGATACATCAATAAAAGCCTTCTAAACTGGATGCTTTGCTGTCAGGTCGGTGCAATGAGTACGAACACTCGTTGCCAGCTGTCTACTATTTTTGACGACGCAAGGCCACTGAACTTCGGTGACAACACTGAAACCTTTCTAGTACCGCCGCGTTCCACGAACCTGCAGAATTTTTATATTAAGTTGCAGAATCTCGACTGAGAAGGGTATGACTTTAGTTGCAGGAAAGGGTTTCCACTAATTCGACGATTTTTTCGCTTCACATTCTTAGGCAAAGACCCAAGACAAACTGTTGGAATGAGAGCAATAGTCGCTTTTGGGCTGTTATTTTAGCAGTCATCTTCAATCGTTCTCTTCTGATTATGCAAACAGCGCATGAACATTTTGGAACAGCATAGGCTGGCAGACTCGACCAGCATGCATTTCTCCAAATTTTTCGTCCTAGTTGCCCAATGAAGCTTTCGTGTTGGTTTTCTTTCACGAGTATCACCTTTAAAATCGAAGAGCACCTCTGTTCATGTCAACAGGTCGCGAACTGTTCGCTATTAAGTAAGCAAAAATAAAATATATTCAGAGCGTCAAAGTTCCCGAGTACATTGGTTGAAAGCGGGGAAAACTATTCGTGAGAAGAGACAAAATTTATTTGGCATAAATTCGGCGCGTTGAAGGAAAACCAGTACAATCAGAGATGACACCATTCATAAACACTCATAATAGACGAATAAGTATTTTTCAAGCAGAAGAAAACAAAAACAAGTTGATGTGACAAATTGAAGTCAATGACACAAGAATTTTACCACACTGTCAGTCAGTAAGCACAGCTAAACAAGAACATAGGATTGGCGCCAAAAATAACGTACAAAACGTCATAGAAACATACAAATCGTCTGGTGATTAAGAATACCTTCAGAATATGTTAGTCCCAATTCTTCTCTAGAAATGGAGGCCTGAACAAAACAGAGTGGGAAAGAGAGGAGAAAACATGAAAGTTATGCGATCATTCGTAAAATAATCCACAACGATGTTTACCTAGGCTCACTTGGTCACGGATGTGAACAGCGACACCATGATTGTCCATTAGAAAGGAATTACGTAACGTTTGATCTAGATTCAATCAAAAACACCTTTAACAGCATATTCGAGCCATACTAAGGATTGGGTTTGTGCGAGCAGATAAAAAACTTGTGGTGACTCACGTGGTCCGAGGACTATCATTCCCTCATTATGTTGGTCGATGATCAACATTTGGAGTGAAAAACTTTTACACGAAGTCAAGGGTCTGTGACGCTTTTCACGGTGGATGCCACCACAGGAAATTTGAAGAGTTTCTTCCCATAAAAGGGGCAAATCTATCTATCTATCTATCTATCTATCTATCTATCTATCTATCTATCTATCTATCTATCTATCTATCTATCTATCTATCTATCTATCTATCTATCTATCTATCTATCTATCTATCTATCTATCTATCTATCTATCTATCTATCTATCTATCTATCTATCTATCTATCTATCTATCTATCTATCTATCTATCTATCTATCTATCTATCTATCTATCTATCTATCTATCTATCTATCTATCTATCTATCTATCTATCTATCTATCTATCTATCTATCTATCTATCTATCTATCTATCTATCTATCTATCTATCTATCTATCTATCTATCTATCTATCTATCTATCTATCTATCTATCTATCTATCTATCTATCTATCTATCTATCTATCTATCTATCTATCTATCTATCTATCTATCTATCTATCTATCTATCTATCTATCTATCTATCTATCTATCTATCTATCTATCTATCTATCTATCTATCTATCTATCTATCTATCTATCTATCTATCTATCTATCTATCTATCTATCTATCTATCTATCTATCTATCTATCTATCTATCTATCTATCTATCTATCTATCTATCTATCTATCTATCTATCTATCTATCTATCTATCTATCTATCTATCTATCTATCTATCTATCTATCTATCTATCTATCTATCTATCTATCTATCTATCTATCTATCTATCTATCTATCTATCTATCTATCTATCTATCTATCTATCTATCTATCTATCTATCTATCTATCTATCTATCTATCTATCTATCTATCTATCTATCTATCTATCTATCTATCTATCTATCTATCTATCTATCTATCTATCTATCTATCTATCTATCTATCTATCTATCTATCTATCTATCTATCTATCTATCTATCTATCTATCTATCTATCTATCTATCTATCTATCTATCTATCTATCTATCTATCTATCTATCTATCTATCTATCTATCTATCTATCTATCTATCTATCTATCTATCTATCTATCTATCTATCTACCTACCTACCTACCTACCTACCTACCTACCTATCTACCTATTTGTTCATACGTGGCAACACTAAATCACCAGTAGATAGTACTGATGTATTGCTTCCCGTGATGCCATGATAGCAGCAAACTATCTGGAGACTAGAGATGGTTGCGTAATACAATTTTCATTGATCTTACGTAACGGTTTTTGGATGTTCAGGTAGCTTTTTTATTCTAAACATCATTTGGATGATTCTTTGGGTACTACAAAATTTCCAATGATATTCGCGCAATTCAGTAACGGATACGAAAGGGCACTCCACGTGAAAATAGCCCAGTGACACTTCTACTAGACTGGTCCCAGAAGTATGCCCATCGTCTCCAGCTCAAGCGTTCATTTGAAAAGATTATTATCGACAATGTCTGCATACTGGTGGATCAGTTAGCACGTCTGGATTATGGGCTGTTTCGGACCGGTGAAACTTCAGTGTTCTTGTCCGTACTGTTATTTCGAACACTAGAGTCTCTCAGAAAGTTAAAAACACAATAGTTTGTTTTTCAAGCTTCCTTAAATGATGATATTTTGATCGGTTCCAAACTTTTTTCATAAGATAATCTTGTTTATTCAGCTGCTGCTAAGCAAGTGGGCCCCATGGTAACAAGAAAGAAATCAGTATAGGTAAGATTATATGTTTAAAACCCACTTTCCGATGTATAAAACATATTTAGATGCTAAGAAATGGGATTCGTTGACCTACGCCATCATTAAATTATACCTCATGATTTACTAACACAAGGTCTTCGGAGGCAGGCGGAGTTGAATGATGTAGTAAACGTTGGTAAGTCCATGGCCAATTAGTAAACGCGTAGTAGGTGATCCTGTTTTTCGCATCTGAAATACTCCATGACGAGAAGACAAACAAAAAGCAGTGTGCTGTTGTCTGACTTTTGATTATATTTCTGCGGGAATACATAATCACTCTAAAGGGATGGGGTATTGGCTGCTTCGATACACTAACTGTGCTAATCAACATTTTTAAATCGCTGTTCATTTCGCAGTACTTAAGCTTTTGTATGCAACGGCATTCCACTGCACGACGTCAATTGTTTGAATAAGAAGTCCTGGGCTTTAATAGCTGGCATTTTCAGCTACCAAAATTTGGCAGAATTTCTAAGAATTGAGTATTCCTTGTCATAGTGTTGAGCAGAATATTTAAAACCGGCATACGCATACTACGCATACGCATAGTGATACGATTAGTCTGTAAATCGAAAGTGGGCATTTTGGTAACAAAATAGCCGTTGAGTGCCTAAAACTGCAACTAGATGCAAACGTTATTACGAGCTATGATGCTTATAAACGATTTTTTACATAAGATTAATTCCAAGTCGCTTGTTATCATTATCGTACCAAGTGTGTCAGTACACCCGTTTTGACAGTACCATTGACGAAAATAATCTAAATGGAGTGTTTGTTTGCTCCCATGCACACAGAGATGTGCTACGTCGCAGAAGAGAAATGCATGAACTTTACCTTTAATCGGCCACTTCACTGGGGGTCTGGTGTGAAAATGTCATGCTTTTAATGAAATATACCAGAGCTGCTCCGTCATTCTGTTATACCAAGGAAACGGTATCCCTATAACACACCATCCAGGAAACCATGCAACCTCGAGATACCATGTTTCCAGGAGACCATATCCCACGACATATCCCACACTCTAGAGTCATTGCATCTTGATACCGTGTATTTCCATCCTCCTTGTATTTCTGTATCAAAATAGTCTACATCTTGATACCGTGTATTTCCATCCTCCTTGTATTTCTGTATGCAAAATAGTCATACGGTTTTCTCAGTTCCAGTTTCAATACCAGTGAGGCCTCAGCAACCATGGGGTCATATTGTTTATCTGAACGGACGTTTCCTTGTGCTCGTAAAACAGTACGTGTGAAGGTTCCTATTGTAGACACTTAATTGTCGTGACTTTGGTCATCGAAATTTGCAAAGAAGTCAGATGGCACTTTCAACATATTGGAAGTCATTTATGTGCCGTTACATCATAAAAACTTGGTATATGCAAATGATGCAGTCAAGAAGCCATCCAAAACTGAAGAATGCAAAGTACACTTCCGACGAAACTGGTATTCGTACATTCTCAGTTGCCGAATGCTCATCTCTGACAGTGATACAGTGACACGCGCGACGTTTTAATTAATTAATTTATTGGTTCAGACCCTCATGAAACTGAAGCATGGATGTCAAACTGTTTGCACACCGCATTTGCTCAACCACTTAGTCTAGTCCTGTTTGCACCTCTGTGTCACATAACCAGTCAGATAGCTCTGGCCAAAACTGATCAGACTTAATACACTACTCATAAAGTTGCTGAAAATTCTTCGACAGCCCATGACGGCTTTCGGTCGTCTTGGGGCTCATCATGTAGGCGCAGTCTCCGAGGTTCCGTCAATCTTATGTTCTGCTTGAACCCAAACCGCACGAAGTTCGACGTATACACTCATTTGCATATCAATTTGACTTTCATATGGGACTCACCTAGAACCAAGCTGAATTCACTTGTTTATGATGTTTCAAGCAACCCAATGTACTGCACCAGTCCGCCTCATGTTTCACTTGGTAAATCATAAACAAAATATTCAGCTGGGTTCCAGGTGAGTCTCCCACCAAAATCAAACTGGTATGCAGAGGAGTGATCAAAATTTTATTCAGATTGTGATTGTGCTTCGACCTGTGGCAATCAATACCACCTTGATCATCATCATCATCCTCACTACTTCGTTACGTGAGCTATCAAACCGTATCCATGAGCCTCTTATTCAGGTGGGCTGACTCATGTAGACAAAGAGCATTTATTCATACAAAAAACTCACCTTGTTGAGTATCAATTTGAGCACATATGGATTTTCTGGAAATTTATGAAATGAAAAACGCGTGACTAGCTCTTCAAAGGCGATTGTACGTACCAGTTTGATGGTTTAATTTTACTCAAAATGAGGAATCAATGAAGAGTCACTCAAACTCACTCGCAAATTATGGGTCAATAAGTACGTCAATATTATTGCACAGGTGCCATTTTCAACCTACTATGTGGGACTCAAAGCTGATAAACCAATAGTGACTTCAGCCTTGATTGTATGCAGGCGGTATGTGTTGGTACGAGAAACACCTTAAAGCGTCACCGATTCTTGAGATTTTCATAACCGTTTCACCGTCTAGTTTGGTTTACTAATAGGCGGAACAAAGTAATTAAAATCCCACCGAGTTCATATGAATTCTCAATAGTTTTGAACTGAAAAGTCTCCATTCGACTCCCCTAGTGTCAGTTGCTTAGGATTTCGTTGCCAACCTATTTTCTCTTGGGCTTGCTCGCATTGCTGTTTGTAGAACCAAACGGGTCAGCTCAAACCGAATACGCAAACACTCTCCAGGTGAAGTACATTCAATTGCCTGGAAACACCACAAGCGAGAGATTCAGCTCGGTTCTAGGTGAGTCTCTCGCAAAACCGAATCGGTTGTTCGCACTTGGGGTAACAAGTTCCCCTGTTTTCGTATTCTAATATGCGAAAGCAATCCACCAGTGTCCTATGATTGGATTACTGACTAGAACCCCGGAAAACGTACGCACAAACCTAACCTTTCTGTTTGGGTCGAAGACTTGTGATATTTTTTATCTCTTGGAGTAGCGCTATCTCATGTAAAAAGGGATTTTCTGCGACTCTTCAGAATAAATCCTATGCCTAGGCTGATAAAAATCTAAGCAATGTATTCGAAAACTTATAGATATGTTGCGTGAAGAGTGCGCGATACGGATGCTTCGTTTAAGCAGCTATCGAATTTCCATATCCCTCAAGGCTGTCGCCACGTAATCATTCATGATAAAATTCCGAACCTAAAAATAAAACAGTCCGGTCACTTAGTGCAAATTCGCAAATCTGTAAAATAAACAACCACTCACTTGGCAGAATTCAGTTTCACTTAAGGTAGTAATATCCTTTACCAAGCCGTCCAGCAAATTGTGGGTGAATTTCGAGCACTTATCAGAGAGGGGGAATTTTGAGAAGGAGAATAATAGTAGGAATACAACCGTTGGTTTTACATCGGCTAAATTCAAGAAAATCATACTGGAGCAGTTGGTGTACTTGACTGGCACATCGATGTGAATGGGAGAAAGTTGGACTCAAGCTCATTTCGTATAAAATTTACGACTACTTTCCTCCAGTGGTCTAGATAGGCATGTTATACTCCATGTTGTTGATGTAATTCAACTCGAAGCCAATAATTGTTTATTCAGTCGTCCATCTCTGGAGAGAACGGCCATTTGGGACAGACTGGTTTGAGCTGGCCTGCTGGAGCATTTATAAAATTCCATAACCTCTACAGATCAGTTCTCTCAGAGGATCCTAAAACGTATCGCAATTAGCTGACCCGTCACAAAACTGGGAATTCATATGTTCCTGAATGGCCGGCACCGAAAGTTTACCAACTGTTTCTGAGAATGCAAAACAAGCACTTGTTTTGTGTGATCGTATAGATAAGCTTCTCCGAAGTCACGTACGTGAACAGACGCGGCAATGGCAAACTCATCAGCTGTTACAGCTGATGTCTGATTACTTGGAATCTCATCCAAGTTCCTAAAAATCCGTTATCCTAATCTTATCAACACATGTAGCTTAATATGATATTTTAACATGGTGCACAAAAATTATTCGCGTTGATTTGTATATTCTTCGAGATCTCATCATTACACCGTGATCACGATGTTAGATGGTTCGTGTTTAGAGCATACTGCGTGAGATGAGTTGTCAAGCTTTTTACTCCTTTTTATAAACTATTCAGGTATTTGCTATATCTTAGGATGGGAATTCCAGGTACATGTGGAAGGAAGGGACAGACGTCTTGGGACGGACTGGTCTATGGTACGTGTGCTTCGACCTCCCACTTCAGTAACTACCAAGTTCTCCCCTACTTTCTAGCACTTTACACCTATGGCCATCTTGAGGAAATATCAGTAGCGCCCCATTCATTCATTAGACAGAGAAGTGACGTATGACGTTTATGTGCACATAGCGTGATATAGAGCAAGCATGCTCGTTAGCTTGGGCGGTAGAGCACCCATCCGGTAGGTAGATCGGGTCAAGCAGCAGGCGTGTCCTTCCTTCCACGCTGTGTAATTGAACCTCTCCTTCCGAGGCTTGTATTTATGTACATCCTAAAACAACCAGGTACTATAATTTGAATACGGTAAAAACCACATGAAATTTGACGTGAAGGGTCTAACATAGAAACATTTGATAAAATGAGTTTTAACTGCTCACAGAGATTTGTGTCTCCTTATCAGAAAGCTGACTGTGGAGCCCGATCGCGTTGCATAGAACACATCCAGAAACGCAAGTTTTCTGAGGTTTCGAGGGCTCAAAAATATCTATTCTGGTGGTTTCCGCATCCTCGTTCTCAGACTAGAAGCAACGACACCCCAAAAGTGAGCTTGGTAAACCTACGCTGGCTTTTTCGTTATACCCATAACAACTCAGTATCTGGATTGATACCCTCAACTCACACTTGAAGGGGTGCAGTCACAATTCAGAATACGGTATCGGTCGCTGGAGTGAGAAATGGATTTAGATTTGTGCTTGGTTACTCTCTGGTCAGCAACAGTAGACGACGACTGCGAAGCCAAATCGTCCCGTCATGAAAGCCAAGTGTCGTCAAGAGCAATAACAAAATGGATTAGATTATATTCTGAGTTAACAGGCAAACGTACTACTCATTGCGTGCGACGCTATCTTCAGCTGGCTTGTGCACGTAAGAATCGCCCGTATTGTGACTCATATATAGCTTTATATTGCCAAACGAAGATTATTGGCACCTCGCTTGATGTGGATTTGGCAGAAGAATGCCACAATGGCTGGGATACCAAACATGGTCGCAGATTCTTAGTAGCACCTTCTATCCAACAAAACGTACACAATTAATTTGTCTAGTCAGCTGAAACAAAATCCCCCTTGCAAATTGTATCATGCATTTTTAGCCAAAAGCGTTCAGATTCACCAACCTGAGAACTGTAAACCAGTGTGAGATGGCAAATCTGCTCCATGGCTCGTCGGACAGCGGAGACAGCATCTTCGTTTGCGAGAAAAATCTTCAACTGCGAAACGGACCGCATGCATATGCCGCAGAAATCTGAAAAACGGAAATGAGGTGAACTCTGTCTCAGGAAGTCCAAACGCAAACTTTTATTTCAGGTTCAACTGTGTGATTTTATGAGTAATCCGACTGATTTATACGGATGGAAAGCTGTCATTGGAAGTGACACCAAGTACGGTATTACTATAAGAGTTTCACTTGATATTCAAAACCTATCACTACCAAGCATTAAATTCATTTGAGAAACATCCGAAACGTAAACAAACTCGGTGCGTTTTAATTCGAGACCCTGTTTTATGCGGAGTTTTCTGAGTGTTTTTCTTCGTACACGATCTAGTAATGCTCACTTTGAAAAGTGAATGAATAGTTCTGATAGGTTTAAGGCGTTACCTGATTTACCCAGATATATTGCTGGATTGAGAGAATGTCTGCTGCTCGTAGGCAAACAATTGATGTTCTTACCACTTGAGAGGTTATTCTTAGCTTGCTTGAACCGCACAAGGCCTTTACTTCACGATGCTTTCCACAGCACTACTCTAAATAAAGCTGTTGTCTAAGGTATACTAAAGAACAAGGCAACAGAACAGTTTCGAAGAAAATGCCGGAAGACGACAAACTCTGCAGGAAGGTTCTCAATTCGTACCAGCTTGGTATGCTCTATGTTTGTCTCTCTGACTCTCTGCATTGCTTATGTCACAGATTTGTGGTCTATAAGAGTGTGTTACTTAGTATCTTCGCGAAAACTTGTATACTGTTAACGGTATTGTGATTCGTGAACGTGACTCATGTAATGAGGGAACTACAGCGGGAACACCACATGAAGGGTATATCAATTAGCAACATGCTTATGACTACTTCTTGTGGAGTGGTCTTTGCAGATTACATCCACATCACTTACAACTCCTCCTGCCACTGCGATGCATTTAATGCAGCGTGCCCAGATCAAACTGACGGATGTAATTTAGTTTGGGTTCCGATCTTACACATGTATTCGGCCGTACCTGGCAAGGAACTCCATCATCACCAAGTGTGCTTGTTCGTTACAGCCCCACCGCCTAGTGGGAGCTGTCTACTTATCACAAAATCTTACTCGCCCTCGAGTGGGGGGTGTAGGTGGTCTAAATAACGTTTCATAATGATCATAATTATTCCGAGTGGATGTCGTTTTAGCACAACTTACAAGTTATATGGCATCACAAGTGTTTTTGAATCAACCCGTACATTTTTTTGTTTTGTGGGTGGTTGCACAATTCCTACTATAGATCTCAACTCGTTGGTGAATTAGCCAGAGCTGTTCGACAGTCCTACAGCCGAAATCAGATTCATCAGCATTGTAGCCCAGTTATTTATGGTAGATGCAAGTGAACGTATGTGTACTCGACTGAGGGCACTGCGACAAAACTCACTAATACCACATTTTGAGGAACATGCGGTATTCCATCCTATCATATAGAATCGCTTATGAATTGCTAGGCTTTTGGAAATGTGCCAAAAAATTTACCGTCGAACGCACTCAATGAAAAACCTTATCCTACCGGATTTGGGCGGAATCTGAGAAAGCACTGTCACGGTAAACGCCGATAGCGAGAAAACTTGAGCTCAGCAGTGAATATCTCCCTATTTGGGAAAGAAATACGGTCATGTTGTTTGACCACTAGCTACCAGCTTATTCAGAATCTGACCAGCACCGGTGCATTAGCCGACCAAAACCTAGAACGCTGTTAGTCGTGTGTGCCCTCACACACGATCTTACAGTATATTGGAAAACAATCTACCACACAAAGAAGTTACATGTTCTCGTCATATGAACTCTGAGTCAGCGCGGCAATTTTCATGCAGGTACAGATTCTCCTCAACAAAAGAAGATGGATTTTAGTCATGAATATCGTTCAGCACTTTTCACTCGGAATTATTACCAGTGGATGCTTACCAGTTGGATCTGGACTGAATAGCATCTGCTTCTGGGGCATTGAACACAAATCTATCACCTAGAATGGAAGCGTTCGTGGTAAGTTACAATGGGTGCTACAACTGATCAAGTTTTATTCTCTATTCAAAATCAACTACAAACTGGCAACCAGATAACATCAAATCCGCAAGTCAATTATCTCTTTCACTCGTTTCTTTAAAATTCCTTTTGGACCAGAGGTGGGTGATGATATCCAAGCAAACCAGAAAAGGTGCATCAGCTCTTAACTGCTTTCCAGTGAGAATTGGACTAATAAAAAGTGCATTTTAGTTGTCGTCGTTTTTGAACGCCAGTAGTATTATGGTGATCACTCAGACCTATTCAGAAAGGTAAGGAAACGTGTCCAAAGTCAGACCGTGGAGTCTCTGAGTTTGTGCAGTAGGCCTCTGATAGTGGTGCACTTTGTTCTATTTTGTCCCTCGAAATCTGCAAAAAAAATTCCTGTTCCTTCCTGAATAGTTTAATCACATTTTTGATAACTGTCAAAGGAGGAATAACCAGTCTGATCTTATCTTCTCTCCCCTGTTTCCCAGATGAATGTGACCTATTGGAGTTCAGGGTTTTCTGAATCAGAAGGATGGGAAGAGATCGTTCGGAAAATATCACTTATTAGCAAGATGACATGGAACAGAAGCTGTTTTCAACGTGTTTTGAATCCGAAGTGAAGTGACCATCTCTAAACAGGATAACTGGAAAACTTTGTAATACATGAACTGTTTGTCGCATCTGTCGTTTACGAACAGACGTCATCGGATTGCTTCCTGAATTTTTCATCTGTGAATTCGTAGTGCAGTTCTTATAGGCTATCCAAACTGCACAGTTCCGGCTATGTATGATTCAACAATCTAGGTAGTGTCACTTCATCCTCAAGGGGACCAACTTCTTTACGACTAAAAGCACTTTTCACTCTCATTCCCTCTCCGTCTGAGGACAACCGTCCAAGATCCCTATTTTAACCACTGAGTGTTTGCCGCTCCATAATAATGTTTTTTTTTAAATTACCACATGTGGGCTTTATCTGGTCAGGTCCACCAACTACATACGGATCCGTCCTGCGTATACTGAACTCTAACAATAATAACCAAACGTATGGTACTTGGTAAGGGCTACTGACAATTAGAATGGCCTCTGTTAAAATGACGTTCCCCCGGTAGCCGACTACAAGAACGTTAACGTTGCTCATTTATCCCCATGTAGTGCGTATATGTGCCTCCCAAGGCTTTTCATTTGGTCAATATTTCTAATTGACCAGACTCAACATTTTTGCAATTATAAAGTCCAACACTGAAACCTAAGAAAAAATAATACCTGAAGGAAGGCTAATAGATTTTGACGTACTAAAGTATAAAAACGAAGCACCTTTGGGTACTGGGCTGTCTTTCCATTGTTTCGGTTACCGTGGATAAAAGTTGTCCCGTTTTTACAAACAAGTGGACACACAAATACAACAGAAATAAGGATGAGTTATCAAGTTTCGTGGCGTGAATTCCCGAATGTGAGCGCGTCTGTGTTTCAGTCGAACGATTCGGCTCGGTTGCACGTGGAGCAACGGCAGAGCCAAGTTGGAGACTCACTTTATTGTAAAAAGCCTTTATAAATAATGCCAACGGTAGCCAAAACATCACATCTGATGATTCTGGGCTTCGATTCATAGACTTTCTAATTACATTCCACAGCGCATTCAAGACATTTGGATCAAAGCCGGCCTAGGTTATTCAACTTGATATGTTCTCGTGGTAATCCGCATGAAATACAAACAAATGACAGCGATAGAAAATTTGCGCGTTGGCACAAATGGTAATATGATACTGAAGCGATTAACGAACAGGATTATACGATAAATCTGAAGTTATACCCTCATACTCATTACAACACGATAGGCTTTCTGCTAGTATTTAGGCAACAATTAGGTAACAGTTTTGAATTCGGTGAAAGAAAGCCAAATGAAAAAAGGAATAAGCTTATGTAATCCATTTTCTCCTGACACGTTTTGTTTCTGTGTCAGCATTGTTCTAATCCCCTGAATCGAGAAAGGATGCCAATGAGACATTCTGCTCATTCGCGATATATATTATGCATTACTTATACATACCCTCTGCAGACAAATATGCGAAAGCTAGTTCAAGAGCATACTTACTTGACACAGTGCAGAAGGAACCACGAACTGAGCCACTTTGGCTAGCCACTCTTCTAGGCGTTCATTAACGAATAGGGTGCACTGTTGAAATAAAGGAAACCATTTGGTTAGAGCCGCCTATATACATGTATAACTGTATACTGAACACATCTCTTTTTAAACTGGGAGCATCTACTGTGGATTATCCGCAAACACAACAGCAATAAAACGAGGCACTGAATAGTTCAACTATCGCTCTGTACAGAACAGAATACCTACCAGAAACTAAAGATGCAAACAACATTCTTCTTTCAGCACCTTTTGGGCTGACCACAGAACAGTTATGGGCTAGTCGCTTATGGAGAAAACGCTGGGTAAAACAGGCCCCCTGATGAAACACAACTCACAAGGGTGCAGAAAACTCTTGAACAGACTACGACCAGTTTCAACCTTCTTGGGGTTTATCGAGTAGGTGCATTTCCACAGTATCCCTCCACCTTATGCATACTTGAGCGAAATTGGACGCGATTCGTTAGAACCAATTTAGTGGGCGAATGAGTATATTCGGAGAACTGCTTACAATTTGGGTTCAAGTAGAGTGTAAGGTTGACGGAAATCCGAACACTGTCTACATAATCAGCCCCGAAAAAAGCCAAACAAGTCGTGGGGTAAAGAACGGTTTTCAGCAAAACTTATGGGTAGTTTACTTTGAGAAAATGTACCACAATATTTTGAATATCGTACCAATCCAAACGTGAAATGGCCTGCGTGCAGCGCTTCCTGTTGGAAAACAACGCCATAAGTGAGAAACGTAGCTAAAATCTTGATGAGTCTATTATTAAAACCGAATAACTATGCCTCTTTTCGTGCGCCAGTTTCTAAAAGGAAAGACATCTGACCGAGTATCGAGAATGGATATTTGAAGAACTAATGTAAAAGCCGGTGCATATCACAATTATTCTGTATCCGAAAATGCTTTTGCGTCCATAGTACGTATATTTATGTTCCCAATCATCATCTTTCATCCTACATTAGCCTTCTTAATAATCCAGAAGTTTTACGTACCATCGTTTTCAGGTGCTTTTCTGGGACGGATTCACACATCTCCCCCATTAATGTAACAAGCATTTTGCGGAAATACGGTTCTTCCATCAACTTCACAAGCGCTTCAACTGTTCTGATACATGTATCACAGCGGACTGAAAAGAGGGAACAAGTGAAACAAAGAAATGTGAGTGTACTTGTCCCACTTGTACATGGTTAGAAATCCAGTCTGTGTGAAAAGGAAAACTTACCTGGTTCTGTTTCCGAGAGTTCACACTTATCATCCCGTGGACAAAGATGCAAAAGCTGAAAAAGTTGGTCGGTAGAAACATAGTGAAAATATTTTGACACGTCCAAAACGCTCGGCCCAAATGGAACTGCTTGGGCATCTAGTTTCAACAAAGTGCGCGAACCCAACTAATTTACCAGTCACTGTATGTTAGCAACCATTACCAGTATGCTTATGGTCCATCAAAACGAAACCTCATGGGCAATCTAAAAAAAAAAAAGCAAGGGAAGACACGATTTGAGGTAGCTTGTGATAATTAGCGAGTATGTGGGAGGGAACGGCAAATAGCGGGTTGCCACCTAATTGGCTCAAAAATCATTCAGTTGTTAATCGAAGTTGCACATAGGCAAACTGAGTAACGACATAGGAAATGCTTTCGCCACAGAGAAAATACTACAGACCACTATAAATGATCCAACAATGCGACACACCCGCTTGTGGTCAATAAAGATTGTTTGCAAAACGTAGGCTTGTCTTGAGAATTCATGGAAAACTCTTAACAACAGTTGGCCGGCTTCACAAACTGACATCATCTGTCTTTCTAAAAAGTGGGCTGGTTGTCACTTGCTAACTGTGCTGATGAAAAAGTTCAGTTGCAATGTCTTCGTATTGTACGGCAATTGGTCTTCTTCTGTGGAATATAGTTTTTGTGAGTAGTATGGCCTAAAGATACAATTAAACACTTCGGTTATATATTTATGAACATATTGCTGCAATTTCGGTCAACCCAGACTTTAGCAGACGCTTAGTTGCAGCAAAAGACAACGATTAAGACGAAGACTCTGGTTGGTAATGTGTTAAAATATTGTTAGTTGGTATAGGTGCACCCTAATTATGTCACCTCGTATGACGACGAAATGTTTGCAAATCAGTTGCCAAGCTCTGCGAACAGATCCAAAGCCACCTGATGAATAACCAATGAAACTCTAGTTATTTGGCAAGAGCCACCATGTTTCTGTTTCGTAAGAAAACCGATATTAGTTCATTATTTCGGATAAAAAGGTTAATCATATGGGGGCAACCATAACTAGACTAGTGATGAACTGTATGCGAACCCTGAGGGCAAAAGTCTTCATTGGCTCAGTCCAAAGGTCCAAGGTTCCAGGGTGGAGTCAATTATCATTCAGTCCCTTATACACAAAAATAAGTGATTTTCGAGTGCTGTATGAAAACATGATCCAAACATAGGGATTATTATGAATACTGCTATGCTTATGAGATCCTGACTGTTCTTCCTGTGCGGCCAAAATTTTAAAGCTACAATGCATAGTTTAACGATATTCTTTTTTACATTTGGTGAAAATGGCTTATTTGGAGTAGTATAAATCAACCGTTTTTCTAGCATTGACTACTGACTGACATAGGCCAACGAAGCCAGGTTGAGTGCAAACAACACAGCTATGATGGATACGAGAAGGAAAAGAACTAAATGAAGCAGAGAAGTTTCAACTTTTCATTCCGTAGGTTCGATTTTCATAGCAAGAGATGAAGTGATTTTTTGTGTTCAGTAAACAAAGCACATTTAATATGACTTGAACCAATGACCCTATAGCCTGCAAAAGGTAGATGAGCCTGCCATCTTGATTTAGACATCTCGGCTATCTGCTAGTACACTGATAAACTGATGAGCCATAACGAACAAGATATTTGATACAGACATACACCGATATTCAATCCGATCAATACTTTGAGCGGTTTACAGCGAGTCAAAATTCAAACAACACCTGCATAACATTATCTGTGTTTTCTGTTCAGGTTTTGTAGAGTGAAAACCAAACTTTTAAGGCAGTGTGAATGCGTTGGCGTTCGTCCGTACTGGTATTGTGCGTTTTTGGATAACGTCCGAATTGTACGTGCCGGTTTATTTTGCATGTAAAAATAAACTAGCGACGAAAGATGGCAATTAAATTATCGACTTTTCTCCCACCATGTTTCTGAAATATCAGCTGTTGTAGAAATATTCTGAAGCCCTATTATGAACTTCAGAGATTTGCAGCTTTAGGTACTCAGTCTAAAGGTTTTTCTTCGTCAAATTATTGCATATGAAGGAAACGTTCCCCAAACTATGATTGTTCTAAGGAATATAGGTTATCAGTATGGAGAGCAACCTGTCATCTCGTCTGGTTGCCTGTGAATAACGCAATCAAAAATTATCGAAAGTACGACTTACAGTACACAGCCTTTCTGGATGACATTTTTTATGTTGTTCGTCCAGGTAATCATATATTGAAGTCAAAATTTGTTCACACTGGAATGAATAAAGCACTTTTAGTATTTCGGTTGCTTTATGCGTGAATCTGCATTATATTACAAAAGGTGTGGGGAGGAAAAACTGCTCGAATACACTAATCAATTTTATAAACAAACCTCACAAATGACTGAAATGTTTTGCACCACTATGAAATTCAACGCCAGGTTTGGTCGATATCCCTCGTGAGGATATGATAGCAGTCCAGTTAGATTCGTGAACGACTTCAAGCCATGTTTCTCCGCTTTAATAAATGCATTGTTAGACGTAAAAATTAATCTGACACAAAGTTCGCCACCTGAATTTCCTCGAAGTCTTAAAGCACCATTGTCCATTGTCCATTGTTTTCAACAATGATTACTCTGAGCAGTTTTCAGAGTATAGTTGAAGTGGAGGAACCCGAAGCGTTGTACGTCATCTAAGTGCACCAAATTTCATTGAAAAACACACTTTTGGTTAATTACAACATTGGAGCATTCTTAGTGCCAGCCAATCGATTGAAACGTCTAAGACCAGTTTAGTTCTAATTCCATTACGGAAATTTCTACTCCAATTGCCCTCGGAGTGGCCAATCCTCATCTGAGTGGAAATACACCTACGAGGTCCGAAAAGGAGTCAAACGCCTCGCGCTGAAGGCTTGTAAATAATGACCATCAAAGACAGAAATCAAAATTAACACTGAAACCGTTTGAATCAAAATAAATTTGGAGACAAGTATCACCACGATCGCACATCTTAGGCACTTTGTTATCTGCTATGAACAGGTCTGGTGATAATCAAGTCTAAAATTCCGGTTGCTTTTATAATATATGCGCATGAAACTGCTGGATACTAGTGAATTAGCTATTCAACGGGATCAAAGGGTTCATGACCCAAGTTCACTGGGATCAGACAGATTGGGTGGCAGTTTTCTATTTACGTGTAACGTTAAAGTAGAATGGTGTGTATGCGCATTTTCCAATGTCTCAGAAGGTAGCCTTGTTGTTCCAATTGGCAGTCATGACCGGGGTCTCACAAATGAATTAAATTCATCAAGCTACTTTCAAATCTTAATGAAAAAGTGCCTTATGGAAACTTTTTTCTGGTTGGTTCAACACCTTCTCTAATCAATATTCAGGGGGTTCTAAATATATACATCACCCGGGCGAGGTTACGTGAGTAGCTATACTGTTGCTAGTGGTAGAAAAGTATTCTGTGCTACAGGTAGTGAATAGAATTATTGGGATGAACTGACAAATGCCTGCCAGGCATTAGCTATTCAATTCTGTGCTATGTTTTATACCACCTCCTAGTAACTGATGAGTATTATTGTTCAAGAAGGTCAAAAGTGTTGCTTTTAGTGTTAATAATATGCATTATTCACTCGGTTAATTTCTTCAGTATTTGCTGTCTCGCACAATCTCTGTATCATCACGCAGTTCCTGAGTTGGCTCTGTGGAAAAGCTACCAAGCTCTGTGCTGACTCATCCACTGCTGAAACATCCTGTCCGAACAACAAAGTCAAGAAAAACATTTCGCCAGATACTGTTACTTCGTTTGTGTCTTCTTAGCAGTAGCACTAGAAATGATCAACTCAATTCGAACGCTCATCTAATGAAAAGTGCATCGCTTGCTTCAAAGGTTCTGGGGAAAGATTTGTGGTACGCTAGCCGGAAGGCATGCTAGATCTGCATCAAAATGATGTACTCATAAAATCTAACTACTGGCTATGACTTTCCTTCAATGGGCTGTCTGGACTTTGTATCATGGTGAACCCACCACTGCACGCCTCTAGCCTATGCACATTGGTGTTGGTTTGCCTCACTGAGATGAAATCCTCTATTAACTGTCTTGTTTGCAATCACTGAGAGATTTATGACGAAAGTTGTACCCATTGTTCTGTAAAGAAGGAATCGATATCACAAAGGTAAATCCAGCACCAAACACTGTTGCCAAAATAGTTTCATTACGGCGTACGGTATATTTCTATTCCCTGATGGCTGTTTAAAGGTAATAAGTGCACCAGAGCAATCATTCATGTTGACGGCTTTGTTCCAAGTCAGATAATTTCATGATGTGACCCAGCCACCAACTCAAAACTGGAACTCCCAGAGTGTTCCCGTTTACTGTAATTCCATTAAATCCTTGTAGCCCTTTTCTACCTGAATTTAGACCCTCACGTTTTTATGATCTCGTATGAAGTCCAGTTTTACGCGTCATCATCATCATCATCAATGACAGCAACATCAGTGTTGGCACTGATGCTTCACTGCCGTACAACCAGAAAGTTCGTTTAGTCAGTGGATCGAATAACTTGTGCTGTAGTTAGAGTATCTTCAGGCAGTTTCTGAGTTGCCTTTGTAGGGTAGCTACCAAGCTTTTCTGTCAAAGCTTGACTGCAGCCGGGTCACTCCAGCCCCTCCCTTGCACGACCAGCCCAGTTTTACCTCCATCGGGCTGACAGTGCATGTCAACGGCTGAGTGGGGAGATTCCCTTGCCTAATCCAGGGGCCTTCTACGTTGAATCATTCACAACAAACGTATGAGATTGTTATGAAGGCGTCTGCACGTTAACCTACATACGCACATGCACCCTGTTCATCGATGACTATTTTACGCAATGTGATGCAATACTGCACCAGTGATGGCTTGGAACTCTTAGTGGATCAATTGTTGCATTGAGCAAACCGTATCAGGCACGTGTGGGATGACGATTTTAATGCACAGATGCTTCACAAGGTGAGACAATGAAAGCGGTTTTTCCCGATCCAAAAATATCCGGGCCGATGTTACACATACACGGTTAGTTTGCAAATCGGTCGATCTATTTGCGTCTCATCTTGTTGTATTAAGATTCTTTAGAGCAAACTGTTGAACTCCTTAGTTGCCGTGCTTTTTTCTACCACTGGCTTACAACGAATGCCCCTGCAGTCACGCTTTCGTTTTATAAAATTAACGCTCGATAAACCGAATAAACTTGACAAAGTTCTAGATGGTGGTCAACGCACAATAAAAACGCATTTATAGTATGGTATTTCGTCTCGTTGCTTGTGGCAAAGGGAAACGGTCAGAACATGCAGCACTGCGGCTGATCTTTGGCATCTCACTGAAGATTACATGGCGACTACAAATAACTATGTCACCAGTTTTTGTCTGGCTCGGGATAGAAGAATATACTACTGTGGAAACAGTGCGCATTAACTCCAACAGAATTCCAAGCGAAGTTAAACGAGCAGGGAAGCGTTTTCTTTCGTAAATTCGCTGACAAACGACCATTGCAGCGTTATAAAAACTGAGAGAAACAAGACCTTACTTCGGTGTCTACGATGCCTGGTGATAGTTTAGCGCAAGTGCACCGTGAAACAGAACCCTCGGCAATCTGCTTTTATAACCAGATTGAACACATCAATCATATCGTGAACTGTATAACGATAATACATTTCTATTCAGCTGCGTCAACGGCAAAATGTTTTGAATGGATGTTTTTGTGACAGACAACCGGCAATAAGATCAGACATAATCCATTTATAAAGCATCTTACTAAACATTTGTTTATACCTGTGCACTAAACTCGACCCTGTCTTTGCTGAAAATGCAATAAATTTAAGCACGATGCTGGTTAGCCGCTCATGGCCGAATGATTTAGCATTCAAGCCACTATATGTAAGGTTGCAGGTACGAAACACTATGAAATTATGTCACAGTGCCTATTATTCCCAGTAAGGATGAGACAACTGGATAGCGCAACCCCCGTCCTTCTAGCGTAGATTTTCCCTTTTATGGGACGAAATCTACATTGAAAATGCAATAGCGCAGCATTTGATACAGGAAAACGGAAAGAAGTTCTCGGAAAATCATTTGAACAACTAAACAGGCACAACTTGCCACTATCGCAGGCCTCCAGCCTGTGAAACACTGTTCCAATTAAAGCCCTGAAATTCGGATGCCTCAGTGTAATGGTATCTGCTTGTCGAGCTTGGCACTTGGTTTGCAGACTTGGTTAATATTCGGGGATATATTTTCAGTACATGGCTGATGAGGTCCCTTAAGATGGTGATGAAATGTCAATTGCCAACCTCGATAGACAAATTAGCAGCTAGTTGATTAACTGCCAATGTGTGCGCTCAAGCTACAAATATTTTAACTCATTGCCTATAATTTTGAGCCATTGTGACGCATTTGTTATGTTTGGCTTATTAACAGTTCACTCAATTTAATCACCGGTCTGGTAGTCCCCGTAAATCTGTCCATCTCACCTGTCTTACCTATTGAATTCCATCTGTTTTCTATGTCACAGCATTCGTGCTCGTCATTCGTGTTGCCACAATGTCCGCCACCCACCCACACCCCTAATAAAAAATGCGTACGTGTATTTGCGTGTGTGCGCATCGACGTGTATGACAGAATCCGCCTACCCATCCGTCTTCGTCTTCCGTCTGCTGATCCTGTCCAGACATGTCATACCATAGTGTCTATTTCGTTGCACCACCAGTCTGGTCGGATAAGATAACAATTCACACCACCTAGCCACCATTCCGCACGTGCAGAACTTGGCAATATGCTGCGCCGGTTATGGACGGACTTACGCACAGGTTGTGGGTGATCGAGTTTTGCTGCTCAAAGTCAAACCTAATCCTTCATTTCGATACTCGGGAGCATCAAGCTTATGCGTAACCCATAGTTCAATCAAATGGAATGCCTCCAGAACCCGTCCTATAGATTAACGCTCCACTTTTGCTTGCATCTGCGTTCAATTCTTCAAAGTAATTTCAATATTTTTAGCTTGATTATTGCAAGAGTCCTATAAGACTAGCCAAATTATACTCAATCTTCCTGCTTTCGTTCTGGTAAGCTTGATCAAGTCATAATATTTATATGAAATATGGTTCAGTTAAGGGAGTTTTTGCCTCTAACATCTTTTCGCATTGAAAACAAAAACAGTAACGTTCACAACATGTACATAGGGATGACAGCGCCACCAAATAATGCCTATGTGGTTATTTCAACATTCAAGACGATAGGCTCGACAAAATTCATTTGTCTTTTAGATAATTGGGTTCAGACAACTTGAGAAGCTTGCCAGTACTTTGCTTAGATTATTTAAAGTGCTTTCAAAATTAGTTTGATGTGTCACGAAAACCCAGCAGAGTTCAGGAATTACGCTCAATCTGGTCAAATTGATCACTGGGAGATGATTGGTGTTGAGCCGTAGTCAAAACAAAATTGAGTTTTTTTAAGTTTCCAGATTTATGTTTACAATTAAAACATATACCTGATTTTCACCCGGAATCCACCCACAGATAAGGTGAATCAAGCTTTTGATAGCCGTTTTAGCATCCTCAGTGAAGGCCAATTCGTTCAGGTCGTGCGTAAGTTTCTTGCAAAGGTCGCATACTGGAATGTTTGAGAAACAATTGTAGTCGTTCGGCATGAATACTTTAAAAAATTATGGATGAAACGCTAAACGAACTTTGTCCCAAAGACTACCATATCATGAAGATGTCTGCTTTCAAATGCATCAAAACCATATATACCAGCCGGGCGAAAAAATTGCACCCACCACAGAGTTACTCAGCAAGAAAATGAAATGCCAAGTACATTTCCCAATATCTAACGATCCTGTATGTAAATGCCATCCTTATTATACATGTGCCGGTGCATATTCCTTTCCCAAATACATCGTAAAATGTCCTAATCTTATCGTTTTTCAATAACTTACAGTTTGCAAGCAAATAACCAATGAACGATAGCCGACTTGTCTCTAATTTTTGGCGCATTGATTTATCCGTAAGAATTTAAGCCGTTTTCTACATGCGTGTCATCAGTATCATCATCTTCGGGTGTAGAAACTGCGTACATGTCGTAAGTGCACCAATCTTTATCACTAGAATCAAAGTGGAGTTAGCTTTCACAACTTTGAATGAATTTTGAAATGCCACAATTTCATTGATGTGACCACTTCGCTCTTCATATTAGAGTAGCTTTGAAATATTTCACATTACATAAATCGTAGGCTTTCGTCGGTCGTTTGATCTATCACCTAAGTGATAGAAGGTTGTTTCCAGACTGTGTACCAAACCAATAGAGTTTAAATCGAAATTTGATTCCCTGCATTATCACGCGTGATAACCATATTTCTGCCTTCTGCGCACACGCTTACGTAGAGCTACTAAATCAAGCTGATGGGGTTTGTGTGCACTAACTATACACATCTTATGGATAGTGAAACTATATATAAGCGTATTTCAAGAAAAAGTGTTGAGGCAACATTCTTTCTTTAAAAATTAACGTTCTACTCAATTCATGCAAAGTTTCCATCCCAGAGCTTTTCGTTTCAGTCAAAAAAGTATGCGGAGTAAACTGACCTTACTTTTAGCCCAAGCACCGCTACATGTCTGTTGGCCATGCAGATTTATTGAAGCCATACTTTTTATTTGTTTAGTCCTATTTTATACGCCTTACACATTGTGAGTTTTATCGTTCCCTTTTTACAACCACCCAGTTTCTTCTGAATTTTCGATTCTTTTGTTAAAACAAGAAAACTGATTGGCACGGCCGAAAATGACCGCTTTCATTCAAGTCCTACTGCAGTGTTGCTGTTATTTGCTTGCCACAGTAGGCAGGTGATATTTCTTAGTGAACCTTCGGAAGGGTAAGAAATAACCTGTTTGGCATTTCAACACTTTTTTTCAATTGACTAGCTCTTAGGGGTGATGATTTCATTGCGTGGTTTAAATGGTGTCGATAGAAAGTGAAGCGCCATACTATAATTTACGGAGCCTGTCTGGCATGTGCAATCACTGTGATTCGGTCCTTAAAAGCTAACTGGCATACCTAAACTATCCAACAGATAAGAATTGTAAACATTAGATATATCCGCCCAGGTTAGTAGGATATCCTTTCAAGTAGCACAGTCCCATTTTGTTGATTTAAATTTGCAACTCAACTCACTTGGAGACTCCAAGAGTGGGCTTGTCTGCAACAGGGGATAATAAGCGTATTACAGTCGACTGGTTGCTTGCTACATCACTCATTATTATGGAATGGAATTAAAAGTGAGAAAGTTGTTGACGTCTAGATTGGCGAGATTGCAATCGTGTGGAGTATGAGCTCAGAAGCTGGTAGTAAATTACAAATTACCCGTTGGGAAACAAAACTAAACCAGACGTTTCTTGATTACATTCAGTGCTTCTGTGTGCGACGAAAATGTCACATGAACTGAGGGATACACCTATTTATATTCAGACCACTCTCACTCGAATTATCTTCCTTTTTGTTCAGCGCAATCGTTTCGGTGGGTCCACACCAGAAAGGAAAAACAAAGGACTAATTTTTCGGTTTTATTGGAGCCACTCAGTAGTGCCTCTATGAAACTACCTGGGTTTGGTTCCAAAAATGACAGTAGGAGCCAATGTAAGGTAAATACTCCACCAGCCCACAATGAACGCACCGGAACAACTACGTCTGAACAGGTGTGGATAATTTTAGTCAACGCCTTGTACGACGACCCCGTCTGACTCTTGTCAGAATCTCTAACTGCTACGTATGGCCGAAATCTGCGGAACAATATTCGACTAGCTCAAGGTGGTTACTATTGCTGTAGACTTCATATTTTACCTTGAATAAAATCCCGCAGCCTTTCGGATAACAGAAGAGATGTTCTAGTACCTCAGAAAATCCCATACAGTGTTGAACACTGATGTCATGCTGTCGATGATAATGATGATGGCTTCGATAAAACTAATATCCCATTATTGAAAGTAGGGGCTTTTCTGTAGTCATGTGCCTGTTGTTTGACTGCCACAAGTTTTGTCCTCATGTATCTTATAAGCTAAACTGCTGAAACGATCTTACCGGGACCATTTCTGATGGTTTTAATCTTGTCTTGTTGCACTGAAATTTCTATCCAGAAGGTTGGTTGTCAGTAAAAAAACGGAATATCCGAAGTGACATATGAGCAGTTGTACTTTAATATAGGGTTCATCGAAGGGCTCCGTGAGTAATGGCATCAGAAACCGGTCTAGGAATTAAGCACTCATTGAGCACACTGGTCCAAAGCAGCTGCTTACTGCATCAACTTGGAAGTTCATGTCATCGGACCGCTAGACACAGTACGCTGCACAACATTATGCCATTTAACAGAATGCCAAACGAAATACACATTTCAGGCGCTCAATGTATGCCACTTAGATAGTCCTATTTGAATCTGTGACTACATAGTTTTGAAGGGAATCACAATAAATCACCCAGTATCTGGTTAGTTCTGAAAGAGGTCCGCGTGCAATCACGAACACTAGGAATTTATCAATCGGTCAGTAGACATTGCCCGTTTTAGCGAGCCTTTCGAAGTGTGTTATGGTGACGACTTTCGAAGGTTCCCTGGGAATGTTTTGTACTCTAGTTTGAATATGAAGTGTTGGGGACGCTTTGGCGGCAAAGTAAGAAATGATGGTTCCGACGTAGCACAATTTTGGTACATAGGTCCCCAAAATCTAAAGTTGGCAGAAGGGCTGAGACACTGCCGGATTTTCGGAGCACTTGAGGGAACTGCGACCCCGGTTTGTAGAGCCGTAGTACATCACAAACACCAGAGTGGGTTTGTTGCATCTTGTTTCCGGACATAATATGAAGTGCATATAGCTAAGATCTATTAAGTATCTTTTTGAATTTCTTAAACCATAAAAATTTTTGAAGGGTTTCGTAGGCCAATCAGCTGTTCCTCATGAATTTTCTGGGCGGTCTTTTAGAACTTCTTTAAATGAAAGCCTCAGACACAGGAATTCTCTCACGCCTTTTCCAGGGGTAGGTAAGCCTTGCACCTGGACTTCAGGGAGTATGTCCTCCAGTGAGCCAATGATATGATCAGTTGACTGACCATGAGAAACCGGTAATCGGGTCGGGTTGTTCAGATTCAGATCCTAAGTGACTCCTAGGTTGCACATAACCTCTGTTCTGTTTCGAAACTAGACAATATGACACTTGGTTGACAGCCATTCTAGATCTCTAGTGTGTATTGTTCAGCGTTCCAGATCACACTTCTAAACCGGAACATATAACACAAATATGCATCAGCCTAGGGATTTAACTAGAGAAATTCTTCTGTAGAAAAGACATTTTTATGACAGTTCATCTATCAAATCACGTCCCTGAGGGACAGAAAAAATTCTGATGGTATTTATACAGTCTAGGATTTCTAGACAAGTACTTCCGCCCGCTCACAGCCCTCTTCTGTGGCGATTACACAGACATGTCACAATACCCGGACCCCGCAAAAGCTTTATGCCTATGCGTAAATCAGCCAGGATTGAGAGAACAAAATATATAAAAGATTCCTCAAGCTTTGGGTACTTCTTTGTCCACGCGATTTGAGCGCAAGAATACAAGCAGTTATCGTCAGTTAACGTCCCAGTTGAAATAACATAAACGTAGATCTAGCTCTTCAGAGTGAGCGAAAAATTATCGCTTATTACTCTGATTGAAAAAAAACATTTCAAACGTTGACCAGCAGATGACTTACCGTTTGACCACCAATTCCGGAACTACAAGTCTGACAAGCGTAAATATCAAGAAAGGCTATGTGTTGTGTTATATAGAAATTAGGACATACTCAAAGTTAAGAGCACAAACTGGAGCTTGTGTTGCATGGTCCTGACGATAACGCCCGACAGATTTCAAATGGAGCGGGCAATCGCCCAACCTCAAGGGCCGTCTAAATAAGATCAAGCGTTCAAAGAACTCTCACGCACTTCCTGAGCTGTCAGCCCTGCTGTGATTTATTCCAGCAGGATCAAGACGTTCACCCGAGTTCCCGCGGCCGGGTTTGCTTCAGGACTTCAGTGTGGACGACGCATCTGAAAGGGTTGAGTGGAAGTATGCAGTGGTCCCCAAACACTAGTTTTCAGCTTGAACTCCAGGATTTTTATGACGTGGTTGACAGTACATGAGAGATCACCGTCGGATTCGCCGTCTGTCGGGCCATTACAGCGGCGTGTTGCTTAGGTTCGTATCGCAACATTCCAACTAATATGACTTGTGTGTAAATTGGACGGTCAGTCACGTAACTATAAACGCTGCGTCCGAAGGAGCCCGATCACAGGCACCAAAGAGAGCTGAGAGATCCAAAGAAGGTGAAATAAAATGTTCCGGTTTTCCAGCCTTTGGAGAATCCAAAAGTATATTCTCTTGGGAATATAATCTCCTACTCGCCTGGATTCCTGCTCGCCTTCAGACAGATTTGTGTTTTGGGGTGTTATTTCCATAGCTCGCCCTCTCCGATTACAGCGATATTCTGAGCTGAAAAGAACTTTGAAGGTCGTTCTTTGTTCGCGTCACTGTCTGGTCAATCCCGCCACAAGTCACGTTCTTCCGCCGTTTATCTTCCTGTGTCCGTAATCGTGGATCAGAGGTGCGAACTTCCAAACCATGTGGTCGCTACACGTGTATGGGAGGGAGCGCCAAAACTTGCCAGCACAGATAAACACAAGGTTTCTCGTGTTGTTTCTGCTCTTTTTTAAATTATGTCAGTGACCGATTGACGCAGGCAGCGAACCACAGCCCACCTCGAGGAGAATGTCCTCACGATACTGATTGCAACCAAGTTCCAAGTTCACGTTTTGTGAGGTTAAATGTGCACATAATTGTTGACTGGCCACAGGTACGGGACAGTAATATCCAGCTGCATACAACAACAATGAAGTCACGCAGAAAACAATGAGGAGTAGTCATCAAACTCGTGCTAAATTCACCACCCGGTGTATCCAGCTGATTGTTAGAATATAAAGTTACGACAAAGTTTTCTTCGGACGGTATATTATGGATGCCATCCAAATAGTATGGAACACAGCTGTGACGTCGACCCAAGTGTACAATTGCTGATATGAGGGCTTATGTCCCAGAAGATAGGACTAAACAAGCAATAGGAACAAGGTATTATAGGATTTCTGGGGGAGAGAAATTGCACAGAAACCTCGCACATGAAAACTTAAATAGCGAAAGCATCGCCAGGCTTACTTGTGAAATCTCGCGTAATTTTTCCTCGCCCAGAAATGTACTGTTAAACCTTTTGTGCGGAACACTGGAAGGGTGGCGTTTTATTTTCGGTCAGCCTGAATTTAGGTGCTCAACTCAGTCAACGTATCGCCAGGGATATGTGCTGTCCGGTGTGGCAATTTTGTCCCCGCGTTTCTCTCATTTTTTCTGTGCTCCCAGTTTCAGCTTAAGTGGCAGTAATTCTGTCAGTCAATACGCCTCAGGCCGCTTCATTGGAGCGTTGACCTGTCAATTCTGGAGCTTTCTGAAAAAGGTTTTATTGTACCATATTTCCTGAGGTTCCAATGTCCACTTCACCCCTTGGTGTGCAAATGGAAACATTTTTCTACATTGGATTTGTGAACGCAGAAGTTATACATAGCCCTACTATTGATTACCACCTCATTAGGTAAACTACCATGAATAGTGGAGATGAAGTAAACACCTGGTTCTGGCACCGGCGAGTGGTTTAACTTGAGGCCACTTGCGATAGGACGTTATCATACATCGCTTATGAAAATCAATTTCCAGAGGATATCCAAATACACCAAATGCATCGTTTCATTTACTTAAGGCGTGGGGTAAATCCAAGTCACTTTTGTCCTCACGAAATTCGCAGAATTATCAAACAAAAACCGCTGAATAAATGAACGCATTTACATGAGAAATCGCCCACATTGTGTGTAATAGATGGGCAAAACACAAGCCGGCCAAAAGGATAGGAATAAACAGCAATAAACGCATCGCATCAGCGAGGGACAAGCGGAAAGTCAGTGTGTGGAAATTAATTGTCTCATGTCATTCTACTCACTGCATACTTTCGTCGACAACTCGCCTTGTCCTCTTATGAGGACATCGTGAAATGTTTAGGGTGAAAAATTAGAAGCAAGCCTTGCTACTGGTTCTAACATGTATACCTACATGACATTTATCGAAGGCTCCCAAAAAATTAGAATGTGGTAAATAACTGTGGACAAACGCAAGTTGGCTTTTTTCCCGTAACCAAATTCACTTTTGACTTTAAACATTACCTCAAATATTTACAAACTTTAAGAGCTTCAGAAAAAAGAATAATTCAAATGACCGGTAAAACGTCCTCCTAAGATACCCTCAATTGAATGACTAAATTCCGATAACACGGTGACGTATGGAGGGACGCCGTAACATGTCTGAATGTAAATCAACCACATTGTAAATCAGCCCGTTTCGACAAACGCTTTAACACCACATTACTGGTTGGCGGGTGTGTACCTGAATCGCCCCAAATACTACATACCTCTGATAAATTTCAACGAGGATAAAACGACCGTACACTGCTTCTCGGCTATTCGGATTAGAGTAACCGTCTTGTCGGAATCTCTACATAACTTTCCTAACCTGCACATTATATGAGCCTAGGCCTTCTACCTTATTCTTCACGTTGAATATTGCCGTGCCTGTGAAACTGCTCAAGAGCAGAATAGTTTTTGTCACCCTATCACTCCATCCATCAATCGCAGGTGAACAGTGAAATCATTCTTTAGCTTAGCGTACAAAAACTGTTGTCAGATCACCAGACGTAATCTCTGATGGCACTTTATTTTCATGTTCAAGGCTGTGCCCCTCTACCATTTTTGCAGCTAAATCATGCAATACAAGTCATGAATGACGTCAGCGACAAAAAACCGGCGAGTAAATAAAGGAGATTTATCGAAGCTCGTGATGAGGTTGCTTGCCGTGCCGGATGATGACGACAGCAAGAGAAGACCTCACAGATTGAAGGTTTCCATTTTTGTAAATTGTTCTCCATTTTGAGCTATTCATAGTTTTTGCCAGTTTGAGGAGGTTTTGGAGCATCCAATGGAGGTTTCGCGCTGCAAGTGAAGTAATTATATGTATTGCAGCCCAAAACTATGTGCAGGTGTTCTATTCTTGTCAAGAATCATCGGCATCTTACACCTTATGAAACTCAGAGCTGCACACACCAAATATACCCAGTTCATATGTGACCCCCGCTTCATTTCAGACTGACCGGTTAGCTCGTGGCAATTCAGTTGCCGCACCAGATCGTCTGCTCTGGTTTCTAATTTTCCTCAATTCTTATCACGTGCCATGCAGGATGATTGTAGTTTTGCCCTCTTTCGTTTGTTTTCGTCCTCCACATTTGAATCGTAACGCTCTAATATTGTATTGGCTTGTTTCCAAAAAAATAAAAATCCTGCTAACTGTATAACCTGCCCACGTCGATTAATGCGTGCCAAGATACATTGGATAAAGCCCACTGTTTATGACACTGTCCCTTTTCTGCGTAATTTTGCTTCCCACAAATCCCGCCAGCCATGCTTTTCTTCTGACTGTAACATTATAATCATGCCTGAGGGCATACCACCCACTAATTTGGAATAAACATTATTATTATTATCACTATTGTTGTTATCTCATACATAAACACTGCACCAGGGCATCTGTCCAGCAGGATCTCAGCCCAAATATTTCTGTCCAGCACTCATGTACGAAATCATCCTCTGATGCCGTTGAAATGACCGTTACAAATGCTTGAGATGTCCAACCCAGACGGGCATTTCACAGACCTCATGTTCGCCTTTGATGCTCACAAGAACCTTATGGCCCAAATTCACCGGCACCGCCACCCGCATGCTACCTCCACATTCACCGCGAAACTTTCCGTCACCTTATTACCGCGTCTTCTCATATATCATTCATTCTCATATCATTGCAATACCCAGAGAATTCATGACCGTACTCCGTTCCATATTGACTTCCACAGGTTCAACAACTTGATATTAGTCGGCAGACTTACTGCCTCCAACCACTGTAGCAAAATTTATCATCTCCTAACTGGCACCTAACCTTATTTGCCTGAGTTGCAGTTCATCCAAGTTAATCTACAATGGCCTGTTAGGGTTTTATATGCAGCACTGAAACGCAGCTGTTGCATGACATGTTTGATGCTCCTACATCCCCCGGGATACACCATTTTTCGACATGATAGTTCCTGACGCTCTGGGGATAGTTGCACTCTACGCTCCGAAACCAAGTTAGATATACCTTCTGAAGATCTGACGCTGCGCGACACCCTAAACTCCGTTCGTTTCCCTGCTTAACAGTTCAACAAACCCTTTTTACCCAGTCAATTGTAAATTTTTTCTCCACAACATCACCAGCTTCTTCGAACACAAGTTCAACCGCACCCCAACTTTATGGACTGATTGCTGGATACCTCAACATTTCTCAGAATTGCTGGTTTCAGTACAACCGCGACGTGCAATTTTTGCCTCTGCTAGCCCGCTGGCTGTTGAAAGCGGTGTCCAGATCTTGAGGAACCCCACACTCGTGTCTGACACCGCGAACATTTCTCGCGCTGCGGGTTATCCATGTCCCCCTGCTGCAGTCTGGCCAAACTTCCTTGCGACCACCGAGTTGTTGCCTGCAGCTGTACAGGTATCCATCCCTGTTTCAATCCTCCATCGTTAGTTGCGCTGACATCGTCGAGGCATTTGCAGTCTCCGTGATTTACAAAGCCCGCGACGAGTACTCTCTATCGTGGGGCGTCGTCCTCATTTCCTACAGCGGGGAGCCATCTTTTATACCGTCGTCACTTCTCCACGCGCTTTTGATGTTTATGGTTGACATTTAGCCAGATAGTTGACTGTACCGGGTGGCATGCTTCATACGCAA